ACAGTGCCATCCTCTTTACACACAGGACTGGTCATAGGGGGCTACTTACAGATGTTATATTCTGTACCTATGTGAAAATTAGAAAAAGTATGACTGTTTGGTATTCAAAATTGCTGCGTTTGGCAGACATAATGCCAAGCATGGCTGTTAAGTGAATTATTTACAAATTTTTTTACTTAGGATATGAATTATTATTGCAATGTACCTATATACCTGTAGTCACTGTGGACACAAGGACAAAGTTAAAAAAAAAAAAAAAAAAAAAAAAAAAAAAAAAAAAAAAGGGAATACGGCAGACAGTGTGCCCATAGACATGACATGATTACAATCCACAAGCTTTGTACCGCCTCTGGGATACATTACACTCTGGGCTTCTTATGAGGGACGTCGGCAAGACTGATCTTGGGCATATTTGCTGTCGGTGTGTGAAAGGGATTCTCTTGGAAGCCACCTTTTTTCCAATGGTTTCTACCTGTAAGAAAATACATTAAAATAAACATATTACTCTTCACTACACTGTGCTGTTTTTAGTATAAAGTTACACCACGGGTCAATCAAAAGATTGTACACCAGTCGTATCAATTACTCTGTGTAAAAGATCGCCAACACACCTGCACAATGCAAGGTCCTCACATGTACCATTCCCGATTTTTATTACACACAGTATAAAAATACTCTATCTGTAGCAGGGGTCTCCGAAGTTAAACAAAAAGGGCTAGTTTACTGCCCTTCAGTTTTTAGGGGGGCTGAAACTGGGGCCCATTGGGAGTAGAAAAGGTCCAACGGCAAAGAAAAAAAAATGCCCCTTCTTTGATGTCAGTGGAAGGAATAATGCCCATTGTTTGTCATTAGGAGGAGCTGTGCCCCATCATTTGTATCATTGGTGTCATAAGGCCCCATTGTTGGCGTCATTGGGAGGAATTGTGCCCCTTCATTGGTGTCAGTGGGGGGAATTTTTGCCCCATTGTTGGTATCCGTGGATGAAATAGTGCCCCAAGGGCCAGATAAAAGCAAGCAAAGGGCCACAGTTTGGAGACCACTGGTCTAGAGTATATACTGTCCTATATCCAGTCCCATGCAATGTTTGCAAATGCAGAACATTTTTGTAACAATATTTGTTCATTTGCAATTATATTTAGGCTAGGTTTACATCTGTGCAGGTAATTACCACTCTGGAAACACACCTGTTCCTGCAGCCGCAACCACTCACACAAAACTACAGGAGCTGTGTGTGGGTTCCCTGTCAACTTTTTTCTACCTTTAACTGTCTACTTTGTCCTTCATTACCTCCACCCACTGACTCACTGCTCAGAAGATTGCTTATCATTTCAAAAATAACATTGTTACAATTCATGATGAGATCTCCACTGTACAGATATCTCCCTCACCTTACACCTCTTGTCCACCTGCACAGTCAATGCTTCCCTTGTTTAACCCAACTACTATAGAGGAAGTCACTAAACTTTTATCTAACGCCCACCTAACCACCTGGACCCTGTTTTCTTGCAAATACTATGGTCACCCTCTGGCTCGATCCTGCACTCTAACTCATATCTTCAATCTCTCCCTTTCTACTGGCATCTTCCACAACACTCTAAGTATGGGGGTGACTAGTGCATGTTTTAAAGTCCTTACTGGACCTCACCAATCTTAACAACCAAAGACCCATCTCCTTACACCCTTTTGCATCCAGACTCCTTGAACGTCTAATTTACAACCAGTTGACTGCCATCTCATTGAGAATAACCTTCTGGACTCCCTTCAGTCTGGATTTCACCCACAACACTCCACAGAAACTGCTCTCCAAAAACTCACAAACAACTGACTAACCACTAAAACCAATGGTCACTATTCCGTACTCTTACTCTTGGACCTCTCCGCTGCCTTTCACATAGTTGTCCACCCCCTCCTCCTCAAAAAACTATTTACTTGGTCTCTGTGACTATGCTCTCCATTGTTTTGAATCTTACCTATCTCACTGCACCTTCAGTGTCACTTACAAAATCTACTTCCTCCTCTCACCTTCGGTGTCCCCCAAGGTTCCATCCTTGAACCTCTCCTATTCTTTATCTACACTTCTTCCCTGGGTCAGCTGATAGCTTCCCATGGTTTCCAATACCATTTCTATGCTGATGACACACAAATCTATCGCTCTACCCCTCAGCTCACCCCATCAGTTTCCTCACGTATCACTGATTTACTAACAGACATAATCAGACTGAATGTCACACCACTCCCTAAAACTCAATTTATCCTAAACTGAGCTCATAAGGTTTCCTCCCCCACATGCCTTCCCCTGATTTCTCTGTCAAGATTAATGGCACAACTAGCAACCTGTCACCACACGCCAGGGCTAACCCTGGATTATGAACAATCCCTTTAAGGCCCATATCCAAACCCTGTCCAAATCATGCCGCCTCAACATCTCCAGAATATCGCCCCTTTTTAACCAATGACAGCAAAAAGCTTCTAATTCACTCTCTGGTTATCCCTTGCCCCAACTACTGCAACTAGGCCATTCTCATTGGCTTACCTTTACATAGGCTAGACCACCATGAATGCTGCTGCCAGACTCATCCACTTTACCAATCATTCAGTGTCTGCCACCCCCTCTGCCAATCCCTCCACTGGCTTCCACTCACCCAACAAATAAAATTCAAAAATGTGAACACCACCTTACAAAGCCATCTGCAACTCTGCCCCAAGCCACATTACTAACACGGTCTCAAAATATCAACCAAACCGCTCTCTGCGGAACTCCCAAGATGTTCTGCTCTCTAGTTCCCATGTCACCTCCTCCCATCCTATGGGTACTCCCAACCCCAATCTGTCAGACTCCTAATTTTTTATTTATTTCAGGTACTTATATAGCGCCATCAATTTACGCAGCGCTTTACTTATATATTGTACATTCACATCAGTCCCTAACCCTCAAGGGGTGTACAATCTACAAGGTCCCTAACTCGCATTCATACATATACATACTAGGGCCAATTTAGACAGGAACCAATTAACCTACCAGCATGTCTTTGGAGTGTGGGAGGAAACCAGAGTACCTGGAGGAAACCCACAGGGACAGGGAGAACATGCAAACTCCAGGCAGGTGGTGCCGTGGTTGGGATTCGAACCAATGACACTAGTACTGCCAGGCGGAAGTGCTAACCATTTAGCCACTGTGCTGTTTGTTTAACTTTAGACAATCCCTGAAAACCCTTTTCTTTAAAGAAGCTTATCCTGCTTCTAACTAACTAAAAACTGCGTTTTTACCTTCTCCATCAACTCATCCCCCACAGCTATTACCTTTTGTATCACTTGACCCTCCCTTTTAGATTGTAAGCTCTAACGGGCAGGGCCTTCTGGATTCCTCTTGTACCAAATTGTATTGTAACTATATGGTCTGCCTTCATTTGTAAAGAGCTGCGCAAACTGTTGGTGCTAAATAAATCCTGAACAACAGGCACACCGCACACACTGAAAACTCACTGCACTTGCTGTTACTGTGTGGGCTGTGATTTCTAAAATGCTGCAGGGACCTTTTCCCTGGCACCACAGGCCCATTCAAACTTCACCCTTCCTAACCTAAAATCCCTAACACTTGTCCCTGTATCCAAATACATTGTGAGTGACTGGAAAAGGAGGTTGCAATAATCAGGCATGAAGGGTCTTCACATGCAAAAAGGCAGCATATTCAAATGGAAGGTTACAAAAGCCCAAGGATGTGGACCCTGAAGAATAATAGTTATTATGATACCACCGACCAGTTACGGTTTGTGCAGAAATGATTTTTGAACTGAATACATATTACGACATTAAAAAAAATAGTTTAAAAAGGTTAGCGGTGTGTCGTTTTAAAAAAGGCAGTGTTGCAAAACTTTGGCTGTAATGGTTTAATAAGGCTCATCATACGTCAGCTCAAATGTGAGTCATGCTGGAGAAAGTTTAGTCTTCCGGTCAGTCATCTGGCCAAATTACAGAATGTCTGCATGGTTGCACCCATACAACAATCTGCCTCACTGCTGAGAACAGAAATCCTTCCTTATAGCAGCTATTTTATTCCTTGAAATACAGCCAAGGCTGAAGATCAGAACAAATTTTAAAAAAGGGCAAAAAAAAAAATGTTATTCCAATGCCAGACAAATGACACAGTAAGGGTTATTCCACCAAACAGATAAATAACCAGATGCATCAGGGTGGTTCCTGTATATGACTGGAATAATGATGCAAACAGGATGGAATATGATGACCAAAATGGCAAAGTTAATACAGAACTTAAAGATGAAGTTGCAAAATGAACATTAGAAAACTGACATTTTCAATTTGTCAAACAGAATGGGAAAGAAACGGATTAAACCATAGAACAGACTTTTGTCCCCCATTTTTTGGAGGTTTGGTTGTGACATTATGTCAAATTGCTTTTCTGCCTCTTGTTTTATATGTGTTCCATTACACATGTGGTATTGCAAAAACCTGGTGTTATTGCAATACCAATATAAACACAGCCAAATAGCTATAGCTGCTTGGTTGAGAACATATACCTAAAATTTTAAAATTATTTCCAAGTAAAAGCCTTGCCTACTGACATACCACATGCTGTACTTTTCCTTTATTAGCTTCTTCTAATCCCAGCTCAGGTTTAGTTTTTTTTTTTTAAGACGGATAAAAAAAGAAAAAAAATTAAAAAAAAAAAAAAAAAAAAATTAAGATTTAAAAGAAAAAAAAAAAAAAAAAATATGGAGGAAGAAGGTTTAGATTTCTGGACACCACCAACTACAAAACGCCCTATCCTTGTGCTCTTACTGGCTACTGAGGCAGTCTAACTGGACAGAGGTATTGTATTTTGCAGGATGTAGTCATAAAAGCAGGTCCCAATAACAAAGGGAAAATAATTTGGACTGTAGCACAATATTGTTTGGCTAATAAATGTAAAAATACCTTGTTGTTTTAAAGGAGTACAGATTCACGCCAAAAAAAAATTGCAGTTAGCATGTTTTAACCACAAACTAATATATAAAATAGTCCTTCTGTACCTGGAAACCGATGTTCTGTAGTTCTCCATGGAGATCATCTAGAACTCTTCTTCCATCAAATATGAATGCTGGCTTCAACATCTTCGAATGGATCCGATGGAAATCCAATTCCTAATGGAACAAAACACCTTAATTTTACCATCTATATAACTGCAAATTTAACATGTAGCTGCCTTATAGGGTCCCCTGGAACCCCATTGTAGCTATCTGTATGAGCATGCCTCTGTGCAGGGCTATTGCCTGCTGTACCGATGCTCAATGCATCTACATGCACAGAATTCCTGTTTGCATGCCATTCCCTAGCTCCTTTAAGGAAATTGATTGGCAGTGGCTTTTGGGATTGTGCTGGCAGCTCATCGTAAACATGTATTGTATATTGTGCAATTCTAACTGGTAAAAGAAAAACAAAAAAAAAAAAAAAAAAGCATATTTGACATTTATAGATTTTAAACTGTTTTGTGCATGGAAGTAGATCAGTCACATGACAACTACTGTGTGTTACCCTATTTACAGTTGGGGTAGGCGGGGGGTGGGAATATATTTATGAAGGATGTTTAAGCCCTGGTTCACACTGAATGAGACTTTGAAAATGCGCTACTTCAATTGAAGTAGTGCGATTTCAAAGCCACAGGTCAATGCGATTTCATGCGTGGCTTGCCTTGAGGGAACCTTTTCCCCCCCCCAAATCGGCGCAAAACCGCAAAGTCAGAGTCGCATCGATTTCAATGGTTCAATAGGTACAAATAGGGTGCAACTTGTCCTATGACATGGAACTGTCAAATCGCATGACAAGTTGCACCGATGTGAACCAGGGCTCATACTACTTAACCTCTTGGCTCCAGCCGAACGCAAATGTGTGGCCTCCCGGCGTCTGGGCCTGAATGCCGAGCAGCCGCACATTTGCATTCTATTAAAAAAAAAAAACATATGTGCTGAGAGTGCGGGCCCTGCACGCTCCCAGCACACATGTCCGGTACTCACAGAAAGGTCACGTTCGGGACCTTTCCCAATCATGTGACCACCGGGACGGCATGTCACGGCGTACACATGGCCCTAAACTCCGCCCCGCCTCCCGGCTTCTAAAAACCCTTAAAAAGGGCCGGGAGGCGCCAGCCAAGGGGTTAAAGAACACCAAAAATAAACAAATGGGGAAAAACCCTACTGAAAATATCAGAACCAAGAGTACTCAAAGATGGTGGCAACAGCTTTTCCTCAAAGGAGGACTTTACCCCAGTTAGTGGGCTGCCCCTCTTCTTTGGAGGTCTGAAACCTTCTTTCAAAAGACAGCGACATTCCAAATGAAAATAACCATTATCTTTGTTTTATGTAATCATCAAAGCTGATTAGATAAACCATTCTTTACTGACCTTAAACATGTCCCACTCAGTGCAGATCACCATGGCATGAGCTCCCTCACAGGCCGCATACGGGTCTGTAGAAATATGGACCAGCTTTGCAACTACAAAGATAGAAAGTAGTACATAGAATAAGGTTCCAGTACACACACTTTAGAAGATAAAAAGGCTTCTGTAATGAACTTCTTTTAGCACTCACAGCCAGCTCCATTGTGCTTACCTCTCTCATCCTCTGCTACCCCTGGCTGAGATAAGTCCATGATTATCTGTTCTTTAAGTACTTTGGGGTCGTAGATGTGCAGATTCGCTCCTTCATCCATGAGGTATTTACTAATATAAATACTGGAGGACTCTCTGAAGGTAGACAATAAAACAGCATTTAACACCATATACAAGACTTATTGAGGATACAAAATAATGTTGCAGATTGTTCACATGTCAGATTCTCCAAAATGCTTTTTCTTTCTCCCAACATTCACATCAGGGACCTCAGAGGACAGCAGTTCTAACCTTTTTCATGGTTATTACATTAAACAAAAACGGGAGTCATACAAAACCTGCCAGCTTCAGTAGTCGATTTGTTATCACCATCGTTCTTCACAGTCAAGCTCGTGGCAATATTATATAGAGTTTCACAGTGGCCTACTAAGCTATAATAAACCTGACAAAAAAGAGTGTTCTCTTCCCAGGATGCACTAATGCAATGATGGATTTAGCAGTCACGTTGCTTACCTTGTGTCCCCAGTGTCTTTCTTAAATGCAAATCCCAGGACAGCAATTTTTTTGTCTGCTACAGTGTTGAAGAGACAATCAATGATCCTGGAGGTAAACCTTCTTCTCTGATAGTCATTCATGTCAATAACCTAGAATGACAAAGCATAGGTGTAATAGGTGAGGTATTAGGACTTTCCTAGTTAACCTAAAGGAACATACTCCTCCTGTACTAGGCTGAGTCAGAGCGTGTAATCTGATCTCCCCTGATCTTAGGTCCATTTCAGACCATCAGTTGGTTTAGGAGAGGAAACCTGCTGCTGTAACATGGAGCTCAGCACCTGCTGGAGGCAAGTAGCAAAAAACTACATCCTCATGTGCAATACTTAAGCTTTTTGTGTAAAAAAAAATTCTCATAATTTTAAATTCTGTAAATCATTTTTCAAACTGTCCAGCACAAATATAGATTCCCTTTAGGGCAATGCCTTAAAAAAAAAAAAAAAAAAAAAAAAAAAAGTTTGCTAGCAGGCTAGAAGGGACAAAACCTATATAGGACACTGGAATTTCAGAAACAGAATGTACCTGTTGCCAGTACCGCGCTACTTCATGCAAGTTGAGAACTTCACACAGGTAAACCAAGTTCAACACGTCTTTCTGGAAGCAGCTACCACCAAAGCCTGTACAGAAAAAACAAAAAAACAAAACACATTTTTACAGAATTGAAATGCAACTAAATACACGTACTTTTTACATGTCTGTTTTAGTTAAGGTGTTATAGCCGTTTTGCTGGATGGTCAAGACTGTCTACATGTAGTGCACTCCCTCCAAGTTCACTTTTTTTGCACAGGCACAGCAGCCCAATCTTTTGAATGGGCTGCTGGGCCTCCTGAAAATGTAGGGAAGAAGGTCCCTGCTCCATTTTTGAAACTGCATCTCGCACGAAAACCCGCAAGTGCAGTGCGGTTCCCAGTACGGGAAGCGGTTGCCGCGATTTCCAGTGCATGCAGGTGCCATTAGGAATAATGGCATTCCACATGCATCTCCTTATCAGCAGTGTATTTCCCCAGTGGCAATCACCCGCACAGGTATGAACCTAGCCTAAACAAACCTTTATATGGCAAAAAACACTGTTTTTCTCCACTTTCAACCTTTTCATGGTTGTGGTAGTCAATATTTCTGTAGCTGGTAAACAAGAATTCTCTTTTTTCTGAACTTGACCCTACTGTGATCCAACACGACATCGCTACAAAATGAAATTTTTAATTTTGGGAAATGGATCATTCTTGGTCAGGTCAAACAAAACCTTGTAAAAGTGACACTCTGAAAATGTGTAAGATACTCTAACCTTTTACTGCCAGAGCCATTTCCCATTTTTGTTGTGCACACGTTAAAAAAAATTTGCGTTCTCTCATATATATATATATATATATATATATATATATATATAATCTCTAACTATATCTATCTCACTTAGGCCTGAAGATTGCATAAACTCCCAAAACATATGCTCTGTAGGCTGTGCAAATCTGTGCAGGCTCATCAGGTACAATCACTGTCACAGGCCTATTAGGTACCATTTTTAAAAAAAAGGTATACTTCAGTACCTTAGTACTAAAGTATAAAAGGATCTGTATTCTAGCAAGGTAATATACCTGGGCAAAGCCGCAAGAACTGTATTACTTACCAACACTGGCTTTCAAAAATTTGTTTCCAATTCTCTGGTCCATGCCAATAGCTCTGGCCACTTCTTCAACATCTGCTCCAGTGGCTTCACACAAGGCACTGATGGAATTAATGCTGCTGATCCTCTGAGCAAGAAATGCATTGGCAGCCTAGACAAGGGATGAGAGGGAAGACAATATTTTACTGCTTAGCAGACCAAGTCCAACTATACAGTATACTGTATATTATTTGTTACAAAGCCAAATGTAATAGATTAAAAAAGAGGGGGTTGTGTTCACTTTAGCAAGGTAATGTGCTAATTTTGAACCCAAAGTCCATTTTACATTTTTAAAGTCTTGCCCAAGACCAGACATCACAACACTCCAGATATTAACTTTATTACAAGAACAGAAAAGTTTTTACCTTGTTACTGAGGCCAACATTGCCAAGTTGATGGCCAAGGCATACCAATTGTCATTCCATTGCCAACTGACAAGGTCAGATTTTCCAAACTTCATTGCTTTGCAAAGAAATACCTTCTTTCAAAACAGTGCAGTAAAAAACAAGGTTCAATTAAATCAAGAAGAGGTACAGAAGAGGCCATTCTGGCTGACAAACCGTGAAGTTGGTGTGACTGATTTTAGGCAGGACTTTCGAAAGTTTAAATTCTGGCTAGCTTAAAAAAGGTATCTTGTGAGAAAGCCAACCACCATCTAGTATGCATTGTGATGGCGGCAAACTACATTGAGAGAGTTTAATTCTGTGACAAATAAGTGCAGTTTTATCTCACCAAGCGGCTTCACAAACTTTTAAAGCCCCAGGGGCTACAAGATGTATTGCTTGGTTAGCCTCTATATTAATGAATGGAGAGCTCCCAACAAAAAAAAAAAGAAAAAAAAAAAAAAAAAAAAAAAAAAAGAAGAAGGGGGGGGGGGGGGGGGGGGGGGAAGAAGATCTGGGCTGCTTATTTCTAGCTGTCCTGTGGAAGTCACAACATCTAATTTCTGCATATCAAGTGTTCTCATCACTCCAACATGGAAGGTCCACTTATTTACAACCCACACACCTATGGTCTTAACCAACTACAGAGAAAAGTGTCTGCCTGCAGTAGAAGTGGACAGTACACCTACCAATTTAGAAAGCTCAGAGGACCAAGTATTGGTTGTGATGATTTTTTCAACAGGTACCCAATGCTCATAAACGGCACTCAGCGCATGCACTGCTCTTTGCCCTTCAGGAGTCTCG